TCGGCTACATGAATCCTTTTTCTCCACTGCGTTCTATTTAGTGTCATATTTTCTTTTAGTTCTAGTAAATTAAGATCATTTTTTATACAAGTAGCTCAAGTCTTCATAGGCCTACCCCTGCCTTTCTTAACACTAGTCTTTCTTAACACAAGTCGAATCTAAAACATCTACTCTCATAATCGGATCATCAGATGGCAGACGTTTAATGTGACCAAATCGTCTAAGACGACTTTCTCTAATTTTGTCCGTCACAGGAGCTACACCAACCCTATCACAGATATATTCATTTCACATTTTGTCTCTAAGTGTCAAGCCACTCATCCACCTAAGCATTCTCATCCCAACAACACTTAGCTTTGTTTTATGCTTCTCTTTTAAATACCAACATTCAACGCCATAGAGCATTGCAGGTCTCGCCACCGTCTTATAAAATTTTCCTTTCAGTTTAAGCGGTACTTTTCTATCACACAAAAGACCAGAAGCATTCCTCCACTTCAACCAACCAACTTGAATTCTACTATTAACATCCTCATCTATATCACCATCGCTTTAAACAACGGACTCAAGGTATAAAGCACGCTACAGTCACTAGTGCTACTACTATTAAAATTATATTCCATGTATTCAGTTTCAGTTCTATTTAAATGAAGGCCTCTAGACTCCAACGTAAACCTTCATAATTCAAGTTTTTCCTGGGTTTTTTCCTCGTTTTATCCACGAGAAGGATATCATCTGCAAAAAGCATACACCAAGGTACATCCTCCTGTATATGTCCGGTAAGACCGTCCATAACTAAAGCATATTGGTATTGTCTTAAAGCCGATCTCTGATATAATCCAACATAAATAGGAAAATTTTGGTCAATCCTCCTTCAGTTTGAACACAAGTAACAACTCTAATATACATATCTTTAATGACTTGAATATAAGTCATATCAACACCTTTCTTCTCAAGAACTCTCCAAAGGATATATCTTGGACATAAATCCAAATTGATTATGAGAAATTTTTGTGATGCGTCTTAACCTATGTTCAATTACCCTCTCCCATAATTTTAAAGTATGACACATCAACTTAATTACTCTATAATTTGCACACTCTTGTGCATCTCCTTTATGCTTAAAAATGGGGACCAAAATACTTTTCCTCCATTCCTCAGACATTACACTCCTCAGGCATTTTTTTAGTTTTTAAAATAATGTTAAAGAGTTTAGTAAGCCAAGAAACTCCCAAATTTCCTAAATATTTCCACACTTCAATTGAGATATAATCAGGTCCTATAGACTTTTCACCCTTAGTTTTCTTTAAAGCCTCCTCAACTTTTTTTTAACTAATGCGACGGTAAAAATGAAATGTTTTATTATTATTCATGATATTAAGATCACCGATCATATTTTCAGAAACTTCATCAAAAAGTAACAAAATAACTCACCCATCTATGCTGAATATCTTTTTCTAAGAAACTATGTTGAATATCTTTTTCTAAGAAAAATACTTTTTGATTCGTATCTTTAGTACACTTTACTTGAGTTAAATCTTTACTTTTCTTTTCTCTTTGTTTGGTTAGTTTATACATATATTTATCTAATCTATTATAAAGATCATTAAAAACAGAATTTTTAGCGCCACAGATTGTTCTTTTAGACTCCCGGCAAGCCGTTTGATATTTTTCCTAGTTCTCTAAGCTTTTACATTTAAACAAATTTTTATAACATAACTTCTTATATTTTATCTTTTCTTGCACATAATGTATGAAATTTTTGTTTAACATAAAAGCTTGAAGGAGAGTCAAACTCATGGAATCCTTTAACAAATTTATTAGCAACTAGAATATTATCATCACTGAGCCTTGTAGAAATAAAAGCATCTTGTGCATGAGTAGCGGCAGGGCTAGAAATATTTTAGAACAGGGCTACAAAATAATATATATAATGATAAAAAAATCACACCTTGTAATGTTTTTCTCAGCATTTTAATTTTGTCACAACTATCATTTTTTTTTAATCTATGATTGTGAACAATATAGTATAAAGTTCATGAATAAATTTGTTAAGACGCTCGATGTAATTTTGATATTGATTTAAAATAATATAGTTTTTAAATTTAATTTAAAATGAAATTATTTTTTATATTATTAATATTAATATAATTTAATAAAATTATAAATTTTGCAACGTTATTTAGCTAACTAAATTTGCTAATATAAATCAGACATAATTATCAGATGAAAATTATTATATTATTCACATGTTAATAAAATTTAAATGAAGCTCATATTAATTTAAAAAAACTAATGAATAAATCTACAAAAATTTCAGCATATAATTTACTATTCAGCATTCAAGTGAAAGATGAAATTTAAAAGATTTTTTCACCTTTATGCTTTTTCTTTTTTGTCCTTCAAAACAAA